AAACATGGAGTTTCGAATGCTTGAAATGACAATCCACCTGCAGGCAGTGTTTCAGTTTTACCCCCCGGTCACATTTAGCCCAACTTTGAAATCATGCGACCTATAGTGAAGTCACACGATTTCAAAGTCAGGTGAAATGCCAATTTCAGGTGCGATTTGCAAGACACCTGACACAGATGTCTATGCAAATCACACTAAAAGTAGTACATGTACTACTTTAGAAATCAGTGCAGCTCTGACCAAGTTGGAACCGCACCGATTTGACCGCTCTAATTGCGAACAATACGATGTGACTTGGCCTACGATTTGTAAGTAGCATGGCATGCAAATCGCATGCCAAGTCGTACCTGATGTGACCGGGGTCACTGGAGTCTTGCAGGCTGAGTCATGTGCTGATGCTTGGAGACTCCAATCCAATGAGCTGCAGTCACTGTTTGGGTATTCTGACAGCCATGGATGTCGGCATCTGGTAATTCGTCCACAGTTTGGCGTGAATGGTGGAATGAAGTGTTTTTCTGTCATTCTGCCTGCATATAGCCAGCTTAAAGCCCGCCTCTGGAAACTTTAAAGTGATTCTAAAGGCTGAATGTTTTTTACCTTCATGCCATTGGCTCCCGTTGCTGTCAATCACAGGCAGTGAAGAGGGAGTGGAGGGTGGGGCCTGCACTGCAAGGGTTAAGAGGAAAAGCTGTTTTACTTACCCAATCCTCTGCTCTCCCGTGCTCCGACAGTGGACTGTTCCTTAGCATCATCACTTTCAATGCAGTGCTATAGACCCTGCAATGGACTTGATGCAGTGCTGGGACAAGGTCACCTAGAGCCCAGGGCAAACATGCCAAATTGTGCCCCCCCCCCCAGGATGTATGAGCCTTATGTGTCAGCAAAAAGCCCCCCCCAAAAAAAAAAAATTGAGCACTAATCTGCATGGTTACCCCCTAAGCATAATTCCCCCTCCTCCCAGTACAAATTTGCTCCCTGCTGAAAGGGGGGTCCCAGCAATAATCCAAATTTCCCCCTTCTAGCACAAATCCTCTACCCCTCAAATTCCCCCTCGAAGCACAAATCCACTTCCCCCACCCCCCCCCCCAACACAAATCACCCCAAGTCACCACTCACCAAATTTCCCCTCCTTGAACAATTTTTACCCCCTGCTGCCCCTCAACTTCCCCCTCCCAGCTTAAATTCCCCTCCCCCAATTCCCCATCCTAGCACAAATCCTCACCCCCAAAATAGTTTCCCCTCCTAGCACAAATCCCCCCCCCCCACCATATTACCTATTCTAGCACAAACCCCACAAATCCCCCCTCCTAGCACAAATCCTCTTCTCCCATCACCCCTCCCAGCACTAAGCATCCTAAATCCACTCCCTAAATTTCCCCTCCAAGAACAATTCTTACCCCCTGCTGCCCCTCAAATTCCCCCTTCCAACACAAATCCCCCCCCCCCGCCCATCTCCTCATGATGCCCCCCCACCTCATATGATAACACAGTGCCCAGAGCATCCGCCCCTCCTGACCATCCCTTGTCCCAGCCCTGCCTTGATGACTTCAGTACTTTCAACTGCTGGAGCGTGGAGAAGAAGGCATTCAAGGAACTTCAGCTCCAACTTTACAACTAGTCCCTCTGCATTGCACTCTGATGCTCTGGGATGGCAGGTCAGCAGGCCCAGACCAAGATCTATCAGTCACCTGGCCAAGATCTAGTGGTAGATAACGATCTATGGGTTACTGACCCCCAGTCTATATTATTTTGTCATGAACATTCCACCATTGTCTGAGCTCTGAAGAAGGAAGAGTCCTGTCCCTTGGAATGTGTTGGTTGTGTCTGTTGGTCAAAACAAATACTGCATTTTAATTGAATTGTAAGTGAGATGGAAGTCTAGGTGCTCATATCCACACAACCAGAAGTTGTTCATCTGCTAAACAATAGGACTATTGTGATCAGAGAGGTAGCAGCCTGGTTCTCTACCAAAAAACCTAGAAATGTGAACCTCATCTATTACTCATCTTAATTACCCTCTACTCACTTTCATAGTGCCGTGCTATCACATCTACCAGGCGCTCCAGGCGTAGTCCATAAATTAGACTTCATGTGACACATCTAGATCAAACCTTGTCAGGTTCAAGTATGAAAACTGAATTGAACAAGCTGGAACTGACACACCCAGAAAACTGTCACAATGCTGGCCGTCCAATGGGGTGACACCGTGCAGTGACTCAGTGATTAGACAGGGCTTACTGCACTGCTGGGATACAGTTGTCTTTTGTTTCATGAACTGAATGATGACAGGGAACCTGGCAGAATTAGAATTTTTATATCACTAAGAATCAATATTGACCAGTTGATCAACAACCAGCAGCAATGTCTGGCTGTCTGCTGCAGAGACTTCACTGGCTGTGCACCAATCCTCCATATACATACTTTATGTGTAAAAACTACAGTGTATAATACTGTACATGCCTAATAGGAATACTAGCAACAATCATTTTTTTTATATGTGTATGAATGTGAGTTAGGAATCATAGATTGTAAGCTCCTTGAAGGTTATGGACAGATGTGAATGTACAATATACAGTCAGGTCCATAAATATTGGGACATCGATACAATTCTAACATTTTTGGCTCTATACACCACCACCATGGATTTGAAATGATATGAACAAGATGTGCTTTAACTGCAGACTGTCAGTTTTAATTTGAGGGTATTTACATCCAAATCAGGTGAACGGTGTAGGAATTACAACAGTCTGCATATGTGCCTCCCACTTGTTAAGGGACCAAAAGTAATGGGACAGAATAATAATCATAAATCAAACTTTCACTTTTTAATACTTGGTTGCAAATCCTTTGCAGTCAATTACAGCCTGAAGTCTGGAACACATAGACATCACCAGACGCTGGGTTTCATCCCTGGTGATGCTCTGCCAGGCCTCTACTGCAACTGTCTTCAGTTCCTGCTTGTTCTTGGGGCATTTTCCCTTCAGTTTTGTCTTCAGCAAGTGAAATGCATGCTCAATCGGATTCAGGTCAGGTGATTGACTTGGCCATTGCATGACATTCCACTTCTTTCCCTTAAAAAACTCTTTGGTTGCTTTTGCAGTCTGCTTTGGGTCATTGTCCATCTGCACTGTGAAGCGGCATCCAATGAGTTCTGAAGCATTTGGCTGAATATGAGCAGATAATATTGCTCGAAACACTTCACAATTCATCCGGCTGCTTTTGTCAGCAGTCACATCACCAATAAATACAAGAGAAGCAGTTCCATTGGCAGCCATACATGCCCACGCCATGACACTACCACCACCATGCTTCACTGATGAGGTGGTATGCTTAGGATCATGAGCAGTTCCTTTCCTTCTCCATACTCTTCTCTTCCCATCACTCTGGTACAAGTTGATCTTGGTCTCATCTGTCCATAGGATGTTGTTCCAGAACTGTGAAGGCTTTTTTTAGATGTCGTTTGGCAAACTCTAATCTGGTCTTCCTGTTTTTGAGGCTCACCAATGGTTTACATCTTGTGGTGAACCCTCTGTATTCACTCTGGTGAAGTCTTCTCTTGATTGTTGACTTTGATACAGATACACCTACCTCCTGGAGAGTGTTCTTGATCTGGCCAACTGTTGTGAAGGGTGTTTTCTTCACCAGGGAAAGAATTCTTCGGTCATCCACCACAGTTGTTTTCCATGGTCTTCCGGGTCTTTTGGTGTTGCTGAGCTCACCGGTGCGTTCCTTCTTTTTAAGAATGTTCCAAACAGTTGTTTTGGCCACGCCTAATGTTTTTGCTATCTCTCTGATGGGTTTGTTTTGTTTTTTCAGCCTAATGATGGCTTGATTCACTGATAGTGACAGCTCTTTGGATCTCATCTTGAGATCTGACAGCAACAGATTCCAAATGCAAATAGCACACTTGAAATGAACTCTGGACATTTTATCTGCTCATTGTAATAGGGATAATGAGGGAATAACACACACCTGGCCATGGAACAGCTGAGAAGCCAATTGTCCCATTACTTTTGGTCCCTTAACAAGTGGGAGGCACATATGCAAACTGTTGTAATTCCTACACCGTTCACCTGATTTGGATGTAAATACCCTAAAATTAAAGCTGACAGTCTGCTGTTAAAGCACATCTTGTTCGTTTCATTTCAAATCCATGGTGGTGGTGTATAGAGCCAAAAATGTTAGAAATGTGTCGATGTCCCAATATTTATGGACCTGACTGTACATGCAAAGTCCTGTATATATTCAGCGCTGTTTTAATACCTGTAATGAAAAAATAAAAACAAATCCCTATGGCACCTTGTACATAAAGCATGTTAAGATGGCTTTACTGTGTAATATAAAACTCTAAAAAAAAGTAAGAAATTGTGAGAAGGCAGGCTCTTTAACCAGTTCCTGCCCGGCCAATAACAAAATGAAAACGAAAACTTTTGTCAATTTGGGTGGGCGTCATATGATGTCCTCCCAGATCGCCACCTCACTTTCACCCATGGAGCCGTGCTGTGGTGAGATCTGTCACCAGCCAATGACTGATCTGTTTACTGGCCCATTGCAGGTACCATGTGACCGCTGTGACCGATCACATGACAATTGTAAACAATGAATGCTTTCCTTTCATTCCATCCATTGTATACAATTGTATTGTTAGCTGTGATTGGTCACAGTAATCACATGGTACAGACTGGGCCAATCACAACCCACCTGTGTCATTGAATCGAGTGAAAATTCATTGCTATATGAGGCAAAAAGGGCAGAGTGTTGCCATTTTATAACAGGTCTGGAGAAGGGATTTCATAGCAGGATCGCATAGGACTATTTTAACCACAAGTCTACAGGGTACTTATACCCCCTTCCTGCCCAGGCAAATTTCTAGCTTTCAGCGCTGTTGCACTTTGACAACTGCGCGGTCATGCAACACTGTATCCATATGAAATTTTTATCATTTTTTTTGTGACAGATAGAGCTTTATTTTGGTGGTATTTAATCACCTCTGGGTTTTTTTATTTTTTCTTAAACAAACCAAAAACCACTGAAAAGTTTGAAAAAAAAAAAGTTTTTTCTTAGTTTTTGTTATAAAATTTTGTAAATAAGTGATTTTTCTCCTTCACTGATGTGCGCTAATGAGGCTGCACTGATGGGCACTGATAGGCTGCACTGATGGGCAATGATGAGGAGGCACTGGTAGGTGGCACTGATGGGCATTGACAGGCATCACTGATGGGCACTGAAAGGCAGCACTGTTAGGCGGCACTGACTGGCACTGTTAGGCGGCACTGACTGGCACTGTTAGGCGGCACTGACGGGCACTGATAGGCGGCACTGATGCGCACTGATAGGCAGCACTGACTGGCACTGATAAGCGGCACTGACTGGCAATAATAGGTGACACTGATTGGCAGCACTGATAGGTGGCACTGATTGGCATTGATAGGTGGCACTGACTGCCACTGATGGGTGACATTGAAAGGCAGCTCAGATGGGCATTGATATGTGGCATTGATGTGCACTGGTAGGCACTGGTATGTGGCATTGATGTGGCACTGATGGGCACTGGCATGTGGCACTGATGAGCACTGACAGCTGGCACTGATGGACACTGACAGGTGGCACTGCTGGGGCTACACTGATCATCAGGACACACTGATCATCATTGCCCTGATGATCAGTGTACATGTCCCCTCCGCGGAATGCCAATCACCAACTCTCCTCTTCTCTCGAGCTGTCAGCGTGACAGCTCGAGAGGAGAGAAATGCCGATTACTGGCATTTCCCTGTTTACATGTGATCAGCTGTGATTGGACATCTTCGGCTCTTTCCGTGGATCGGTGATCGACACAGCGCACCGCCAATCGCCACGCTGCGCGCTCCGGGAGCCGCGCATGCGCGGTTAGAATGGGAGGATGTCATATGACGTCCTCCCAGAACGAGAGAACCACCTTGCGTCCGTCATATTACTATATGGCGGGTAGGAGGTGGTTAATGAAAGCTGCAGATTGACTGAAAACGACTCGTGTTTTTTTTTATATTTATATTTTATACTATATTTTGGCCTTAAAGGCCTTTTTTTGTTAAAGAGGATTTTTTTTTTGTTCCTGGGTAGAATAAAAATGAAAAACGTGGCAAAAACGCACTACATGTGTTTCAGCAATTTCTCCATTGATCTCTATTGTAGCAATAGAGTGTTTTTACATTTAAAAAAGTCACTGACCCTTTCCTATAATGCAGCAGCTCAAAAAAGCATAAATGTGAACATGTCCCATAGGAATCCATGTTAAATGGACTGTAGTGCATTTCTGCCAAAAGCACTAAAAATGCATTGGTGTGAACCAGGCCTTACTGTGGGGACTGGTGTCTGTTCTGTACAGGCACTGGATGCTGGGGCTTTCCTTTTCACAACACAAGGCGCTGTTTACCTTTTTTTTTTTTTTTGCTTTATTGAGAGCAATCATTTCTATGTAGAGCAGCTCAGCACAGATGGAACAGGGAGCAAAGAACACAACAGCTTTCCTCAGAGACTTGCATTTTTCAATGGCAGAAAACTGCACAAGTGTGAACAAGCCTTTTATTGTTGCAATGTTTTGCTCCTTTGTTTCACTCCTGTAGTCAACATGATGTTTTGCTGCTGATTAACAACTTCCTAATCCTCCCTTGGTTGCCCATAAATTTTCTTTAACATAACCTAAAGAAGGGGGATTTTTTTTTTACATGCCTAACCACAAACCTTTATTTTCAGGGTTACAAAGTCAGTTCAACTATAAATCAGCAGCCCAGAGCTGCCTTAAAATGTAGCCCTGACCTAGGCCTCCCTACGTACACTTTTAGTGCACATCACATACCGGTTCTCATCAGTGGCAGTTTGAGTTTGTTTGCCCTTACTTGGCAAACGGAAGTTATTAAAAAATGCAAGCTTGTATTTTCATTCGCTTAAGTCGGTTTCAACCATTATTGCTAATTAGTTTGTTAACCTCCCTGGCGGTATTCCCGAGTGTAGCTCGGGGTAAAATTTCAGTACCACAAGCGGTAACCCCGAACTACACTCGGGCTTACCATGTGGCGTTGCTCATGGATTCCCTGCAGCACTTACCTTGTCCTTCGCTCCTGCGATGTGTCCCCTGCAGCGTCCCCAGTCATCTCTCCTCCGGCCGATGCCAGCATCCGACTTCCGTGTTCCGGTCCCTGTGACATTGGGACGTACGGGCGCCGGAAGTGGTGGCAAATTTAAAAGTTTTAAAAAATGTCATTTTTTTTAAAACGATTATTACATAGCAAAACATTGCTGTTTCAAAGCATTTCACATAGATTTTGTCCCTACTGCTTTGTCCTGTGCCCTGCCTGCATTTTGACTGTTCTTTCTGCCTGAAAACTGGGAAAAGTCCATGGCGTCCAAAAAGCGTCCCTTTAGGTCAAAATCGGTTTTAGACCGGCTAGAGAACAGCGATAGTAAATTAGAACCACTTGCAGAATTGAGTGATAATGATTCGTGGGGAAATTCATCATCAGACACTGAAAACGATTCTGCGACTTTGCTCAGTGATGTGCGAACTTGCCGCTTTATTTCAAATTTCAGTGTTTTTGGTTTGATTATATTATTGAATTACATTTATTATTATTATATTATTATTTTTTTTCTGATTATTTATTAAATTATAATTTATGATTTCGTGTTTCAAATATTATCCTACCTGGAATGTTTACTAGACTCTTGTTCGGACAGATTTCAGTGAGTTATTCCTAAAAATGACAGGCCTACAATAAAAAAAAAATACATATTTCCATGCAAAAAAATGGTACCGCTTTCAACACCAAAAATCTGAAAACCCGCCAGGGAGGTTAAAGTCCTCTGTATCAAAATTAATTATATAGATACTGTCAGGTGTGTCCCTAGGGTTGGTGTCACCCGGTGCGATAACACTTAGTGATACCCCCTCCAACGATTCCCTAGGAATGGATTGGATCTGTGGATTGAGCATAATGGATTGGACTCCGATCCATTATGCTCCCCAATCCGCAGATCCGATCCATCCTGCAGGGATCGTCGGCATGCAACCTATACGGGGTGACACCGGACCCGCTCCACAAAAAGGTAAGTTGTAAAGAAAGCCGTCGATCCACGAAGGATGGATCGGATCCATCCTGCGGGGATTGTCGGCTTGCTTTACAATTTACCTTTTCATGGAGCCGGTCCGGTGTCACCCCGTGCAGTAGGTGTCACCCGGTGCAGCACGCACCCCCCACACCTGCCTCGGGATGCCACTGGATACTATATGTAGGTTGAACTACAGTAACAATGCAATTATCTGCTAGTACATAATGGTGCAAGCTCAAGCTTTAATACAAAGATGCTGCGCTTATGATAACATAACTCAATAAAAAATATCAATAATATGAAATAAAATACTGTGAAATCAATGTGAATGGCTCTGTGTGTCACTAGAGCTGGCCATAGATGGTTTGAGTCTCGGCTGGTTCAGCAGGGAGCGACCAAGATTCGAACAATCTATAGGCAGGTTGATTGTACCCAATTTGATTGTTGTACAACTTGGGTACAACCAGCCTGTGGGATTTTTCATGTAAAAATTGCCAGCAGCTATAGCCCCTAGCAATAATCACTGTATTCTCCCAGCAGGGGACATCTCCCCCCCCCCCCCCCTACATCCCCTCCCATCCCCAATCCTACCACCATGGTTGCAGCAAAGGATTTTGTATTATCTGTGGCTGGCTTAACAGATACTAATGAACATACAATGTAATAATGTGATCACAATTAAAAAAAATACACAGAGCATCAATATTATTAAACAAAAGTGTCAATGTTGCAAAACTGAAATGACTGTACTTATTCACAGCACGTTTTGCATTTTCAACACAGGTTCATGTTTTAATTGTGTTCCTATGGACTTTGAACATCCCTTTTTCACAGACTTTGAGCACATATGTATGCATTTATTTTTTTTCAGTTCTCAGTTGTTGTGGTCAGTGAGTATTGATGTTTGCTTTGTAACATTGATGCTTTTTTTTTTTATAGATTGATATTTTGTGTATTTTGATCACATTATAACATTGTTTATTCATTATTATCTGCTAGTGATACACTAGAGTCTGGTGCAGCTGTGCATGGTAGCCAGCCAGCTTCTAACTTCAGTTTGTTCAGTTAAGTTAAGCTTTGCCAATAAAACCTGGAAGCTGATTGGTTTCTATGCAGAGCTGCACCAGATTTTGCACACTCCAGTTTTAGTAAATCAACCCCCCCACAGAGCCATTCACATTCATTTCACAATTTTGATATTTACTATTATTGATTGATTTATTACAGGTACTTTACACACTTTACACAGCACTTTACACATACGCTATATTGCCAAAAGTATTGGCCCGCCTGCCTTTACACGCGCATGAACTTTAATGGCATCCCAGTCTTAGTCCATAGGGCTCAATATTGAATTGGCCCACCCTTTGCAGCTATAACAGCTTCACCTCTTCTGGGAAGGCTGTCCACAAGGTTTAGGAGTGTGTCTATGGGAATGTTTGACCATTCTTCCAGAAGCACATTTGTGAGGTCAGGCACTGATGTTGGACGAGAAGGCCTAGCTCAGTTTCCGCTCTAATTCATCCCAAAGGTGTTCTATCGGGTTGAGGTCAGGACTCTGTGCAGGCCAGTCAAGTTCCCCCACCCCCAAACTTGCTCATCCATGTCTTTATGGACCTTGCTTTGTGCACTGGTGTTTGAAAAGGAAGGAGCCATCCCCAAACTGTTTCCACAAAGTTGGGAGCATGAAATTGTCCAAAATGTCTTGGTATGCCGACACCTTAAGAGTTCCCTTCACTGGAACAAAGGGGCCAAGCCCAGCCCCTGAAAAGCAACCCCACACCATAATCCCCCCTCCACCAAACTTTACACTTGGCACAATGCAGTCAGGCAAGTACCGTTCAGATTGCCAGACAGAGAAGCGTGATTTGTTACGCCAGAGAACACGTCTCCAGTGCTCTAGAGTCCAGTGGTGGCGTGCTTTACACCGCTGCATCTGACGCTTTGCATAGCACTTGGTGATGTAAGGTTTGGATGCAGCTGCTCGGCCATGGAAACCCATTCCATGAAGCTCTCTATGCACTGTTGTTGTGCTAATCTGAAGGCCACATGAAGTTTGGAGGTCTTTAGTTATTGACTCTGCAGACAGTTGACGACTTCTGCGCACTGTGTCTTTCAGCATGTGCTGACCCCGCTCTGTCATTTTACGTGGCCTACCACTTCGTGGCTGAGTTGCTGTTGTTCCCAGTTGCTTCCACTTTGTTATAATACCACTAACAGTTGACCGTGGAATATTTAGTAGCAAGGAAATGTCACGGATGGACTTATTGCACAGGTGGCAACCTATCAGGGTACCACGCTTGAGTTCACTGAGCTCCTGAGAGCGACCCATTCTTTCACAAATGTTTGTAGAAACAGTCTGCATGCCTAGGTGCTTGATTTTATACACCTGTGGCCATGGAGGGAATTGGAACACCTGAATCCAATGATTTATGCAGGGCCCTCTGTTTCCTCTTGCACCAAACTGTATTGTTACTGTAATGTCTACGTTCATTTTGAAA